AATACCACCAACAGCCCAACACCAAGTGTTGATTATTCAACTTGTCGGCGCTATACCGACTGTAATATTGCTAATGCAACAAATTCAACGATGCTATGTGGCGATGATAATATAACTTACGCCAATCAATGCTATTTTGATGTTGTTCAAAGTATCCCATCGTATGCTAAACCAGTTAAAATTGTCAGTCATGGAAAATGCCCAATTAAATGCCGTGATATTAAATGTGATGCCTTCCGTCATAGCCATCCAATTTGTGGGAAGAATCAATTTGGTAATCAAAATTTTCCAAATTGGTGCGATTACTACAAAGAAAAATGTTTAAATCCGTCTCTACAATTTGTTAAATATGGTGAATGTGATCCTGCTGATGAAGATCCCGTTCAACAAGTCGATTACTGTAACTGTCAATTTAATTGCGATAGTAATCAAAAAGCAACTCTTTGCAAAGATGGCCGACAATGCATTACCCCATGCTTTTACAAATCATGCCAATGTGGTACGCGCAATAACAATGTTTCCGTTGAAGATTGTATCGAAATCTATACTAAAAGTGTAAGTAAAATTAGCTTTAAAATTTCAATTTTAATTATGCATTTGCCAATTTTTCATCATCAATTTTATTCTGGTTAAATATGTCGGTGTTTTAAATTTTATAGCATTTGCTATTAGATATTGAATACTATATAATTTATAGTAGTAATTCGCTTGCTGTCATTGTTGCTACAAATTAAAGTAAAATTTTTCAATATTTTCCATTTTAGACAATGAAGTAAAATCGCTGATTTAACATCTAATCAACGCTTTATAACTTTACGTGGTTCAATACCCGGTCCAATAAAATCATATGCTGAATAAAATCGAATCTTTTTTATAGTAGATCAAATCTTTTACATATATATATGCTCGTATATTGTGTAAACACCTGATTCTATACGCATAGCGTAAGCTCAATACTAAGGACAGCACCTCGAAATGGAATAGATTAAAACTATCTTCCTCAAGAAATCCTTCGGAGAAGATATTTGAAGAGAGTTTATCTGTCTAACTGTGTATCTGTTTACCTTATCTACCTATCTATCTACCAATATAACTATCTCGCTAGCAATCTATTTGTCAATACCAATGTCTCTAACGATCAATTTGTCTATCTGATTTACCTATCTCTCTTAATATGCATACATATATATATATATATATATATATATTATTGGTATAAAGAGACTATACAACTTTTATAACATGTATATATAGTTCATCAACATATTATAATGCTGGTAAACTCGAAAATAATAACATGATTCATGTTCAAATATTAGCACGATTTAATGCTATTATGCGTAACTTTTGAAAGCGATAAGCGAAAATGTCAATTACCGAATTATGGTTACTCTGCTTGATATATGCCTGTAATTAATCTATCTTAACGAGATCAATTAATTGCATACAGGTATACATCATGCTGATATAAAGTTACTCTGACTAAATAATAGATCCTTTATTTACTATCAGCAGACTTATAAATAGCATCGATTTTATAAATTTTATGTCCTGTAAATATGTACATTGATAAATTAGCTAATGTATAATTATGAAATCATAGCTGTATAGAATATCTTGTTGTAGTATTTAGAAGGAGCTGAAGTAATGAAATGTTATAAATTTGAGTTACTAGACGCAATTGTTATACTATTTGATAAACTTGTTCTTCAAGATTTTGCATTTTATAAAATTGATATACGGTAACTGTTTACAATTAAAAGCATTAATAATTATACTAGTTTATCGTCTTTTATAACTTAATTTCAATGAAAATGCTAGATCATCTTTTCAATATACAATGCTATATTGCTTTTCTGCCATGATTATGATATAATATGCTATAAAAAATATTATACCATAATTGCTATATTGTATATTTATCTCTTTACTGATGGAATCAGCTAGAATATTTATAAAATATATCTATCTAAATCGTATACCCTATAATTAAAGCCTTATTCATCTCTGATTTGTATGGACCAAGCTGATCATTATAGTAATCAATCGTGTTACATCAATTTTGATAAAACTATCGTGATATGAGGTAGATAACATCGGATAATATTTTAACAAAATATCTATGTACAGTAAGTTCTAATTTACTGTTACTATATACATTTCTATATTTAATTAACTTAATATATTAGTAATTCCCTTCGTAAATGATATAGAAAACTGAGATGTTGATTTTCCTTTTGCTGCTGCATTGTGTCTTAATTTATGATGGTCATTTACAGTTATTAATGTTGTCATTTTTGCCAATAGCAACCTCGTCTATGTCGGCAATAATTAAATCTCTCTTAAATTTATCATAGATCTTCTATATTACAACAAAGTGTAAACTTGGAAATCACTTTATAATTGCAAGCAAATTTAATTAATACAAAAAAAATATTATTAATAGGCGAGAAAGTCATTGATGCGAGGCTCATAAATTACTTCAAACATGCTTACAATACTTGCTATTAAATTTAATACCACATCAGTATTAAAAACGTATAGATGATCATGTTATTTTATTTTAAAAACCATTGAGATAAAATTCAAATGGTGATTATTTAATATATCCAGAATTGCAATAAAAGATGGAATACTATGGC